GATGTGCTCTGCTAGTTTTCTGCCTACTTATTCTGCCACCTTTTATTATTTTTATAAATAACTCAAGTTGGTAAATATACCTAATACTCCTTCCTCCTCCTATTTTCCCCACAACAACCCACAATCAGAGTCTGCCCTAAAATCACTCAGCCAGAACTCCTAGTCTCCTGGTGATTGACCCAAAGTCACCCTGCTAGCTTTCATGCCTAAAGCTAGACTAGTCTAGACCTCACAGTCTCCTGGTCTCTAACTCAACTGGCTCTCTTATTTTTATGGTTTTTACATCTTTGTGAGGGACATTGTGGCTCAGTGTCTAACACGCTGAGCTTGTCAATCAGAAAGGTTGGCAGTTTGGCGGTTCGAATCCCTAGCACCGCATAATGGAGTGAGCTCCCCTTACTTGTCCCAGCTTCTGCCAACCTAGCAGTTCGAAAGAATGTAAAAATGCAAGGAGAAAAATAGGGACCACTTTGGTGGGAAGGTAGCAGCGTTCCATGCGCCTTCGGCGTTTAGTCATGCCGGCCACATGACCATGGAGACATCTTCGGGCAGCGCTGGCTCTTTGTAACAGAGATGAGCACCTCCCTCTAGAGCCAGAAACGACTAGCATGTATGTGCGAGGGGAAACTTTATATCTTCATGATTCAGTGTTGCTTGAACCCAGCCATTGTCTGCCAGGAGCCATACTTTAGTGCAAGGGTGTCAAATTCATGTCGTCACAGTGTTGTCACATGACATATCAGGACTTTCCTCCCCTTTGCTTAACAGGTGTGGGCAGCGTGGGCAGCACATGACACATCTGGCCCACGACCCGCGAGTTTGACAGCCCTGCTTTAGTGAGTCTGGCTCTGCCTTTTAAGAGGTACATAAAGGGGATAATATAGAGCAGGTGTGCCTTTCTCACCATGCCTTTGAAAACATACGACGGCTGAATTTATTCCCATTGCATGGATTTGAATGGTGCAGTACATTTAGAATGGTGCCCACTCTCTTTGGTAGCCTGTGTTTGCACCAATCGTGATGTCATAGAGAAACTTGTGATGTCAAAAAGCATCTTAATGTAACCAATTAAAGGTGAAGACTCAGTTTATGCTGTTGTTGGTTTTCTGACAGTGGTGAGCTGCTGCCGGTTCACACCGGCTCGCCCGTACTGGTAGTTACAACCACTGGTTGGGCTTGCCCACCCTCCCAGGTGCTATCCCGTCCTATATATCAATGGTTGCCAAAGGTGGGCTGGGGACCACTGTTGGTCCGTAAGAAAATTTTGGTGGTCTGCAGAGAAATGTGCCCCCACAAGCAATTAATCCAGGCTGCACAGGAACACAAGGCTGCACCACCAACATGGCCCGCTGGCCCCCACCCTTCAGCCGAGCACAAACCTTGAGTAGAGCCACACAAACTGGAACTGGGGTGGCTTGCTGACGTTGGTGGGAAAGTTGGTCCCATATTCCAGAGCTGCAGTAGTCACAGGACTGGCCTGTGCACCGGCCTGCCATGGAGGAGCTACTCCGGGATGACCAAAGGGCCAGTCTTGTGACTACTGCAGCTCTGGAATATGGGACCGACCCCTGATGGGGTTGGAAATTTCTGCCATAGGGGGTTGGCACATTACATGTGCCAATTTGCAGGTGGTGCAGCATGCAAAAAGCAGTGCATCCCTCGCCGGTCAGGATGAGGTAATGGTGCTGTTGCAGCAAGAGTGGGGGTGGCACAGCAGACCGAAGCAGCCATGGAGGTGGCTGGAAGGAAGCATGGATGGCATTCGTTCACTCATATTTTTGGCGAACCGGTTGTTAAAGTATGCGCAGCCCACCTGTTTTCTGATCAGAATACACAAGTTTTCTGCTGCCTTTTTTTAAAAAACTTACCAGTCCACCTTACAATGTTGGGATTTTAATTCAGTTCATCCCTGGATTATAAAATTCAGAGTTGAAACAGTGCTGTCAATCTAAAAGAGACTTTTCTAGTAAGTCCTATGCTGTACAGGTAGTCCTCGACTTACAATTGTTCATTTAGTGACTGTTCTTGGCAACCGGCATGTCTTTACAATTGTTGGTGTCCTGGGGTGATGTGATTGCCATTTGCAACCTTCCCAGCAGGGTTCCACAACCAAAGTCAATGAGGGAAGCCGGATTCACTTAATGACCGCATGCTTCATTTAACAACCATGGCAAAACGGTCATAATATTGGGCACAACTCACTTAGCCACCATTTTGCTTAGCAAGACAGATTTTGGTCCCAATTGTAATCATAAGTCAAGGGTTACCTGTATTTTGTTTTGCATGGATTTTAATATTTAATTATCTGTAGCGCAAGACAGACTCAAGGTAGAATTTTTGCTGTGCTGTGTTCCTTTTTAGAAGTTTTACCAGCCGGACTGCTGATGCATTGTTACTTCTTGGAAAGCAGGACACACTTCCTAATAATAAGACTCCCTTATTATTCTCTGAAGTGCTTTTAGGTAATAACTGAGGTCCTGCAGGATTATAATTTGACACGCTTCTAGTTTTGAAGCCGAAAATATACACATAGCTTCATTAGTTCATACTGTCTGAGATCTAAGATGTTGCAGAAGCCCATAATGGTGTTGATATGAACAGAAGAACATGTAGAGAAAAGTAAAGTCCTACACTTAGGCAAGAAAAACCAAAAGTACACATATAGACTGCGTGAAACCAGGCTCAATTGTAGTAACTGGGAGATGGATCTTGGAGTCTTGGTGGACAACCAACTTAATATGAGCCAGCAGTGTGCAGCAGCCGCCAAAAAAGCTAATGCAATCCTAAATTGCATTATCAGAGGAATACAACTGAGATCGAGTGAGGTACTAATAGCACTCTATAAAGCCTTAGTAAGACCACACCTAGAGTACTGCATCCAGTTTTGGTCACCACATTATAAAAAAGATGCTGAGACTCTAGAAAAAGTGCAGAGAAGAGCAACCAGGATGATTAGAGGACTGGAGGCTAAAACATATCGAGAATGGTTACAGGAACTGGGCTTGGCTAGTCCAGTGAAGAGAAGCACCAGGGGAGACAGGATAGCAGTCTTCCAATATTTGAGGGGCTGCCACAGAGAGGAAGGGGTCAAACTATTTTCTAAAGCACCCAAAGGCCAGACAAGGAATACTGGATGGAAACTGATCAAGGAGAGATTCAACCTGGATATAAGGAGAAACTTTCTGACAGTGAGAACAATCAACCCATGGAACAGAAGTTGCCCTTGGAAGTTGTGGGAGCTTCATCACTGGAGGCTTTCAAGAAGAGATTGGACTGCCATTTGTCAGAAATGGTGTAGGGTGTCCAGCTTGGGTGGGGGGTTCGACTAGATGACCTACAAGGACCCTTCAAACTCTGATTATCTGTTATCTGTAGCTCAGGACTGAACTGTGGGGTCCTTGATGCTCTCTGAGCTTGGTTGGTTGCTTTGCTGCAGATGTTTCATTACCCAACAAGCTAATATCATCAGTGCTAGAAGGGAGTGGGATTTGCAAACTGATGGATTTGCAAACCTAGCTGGGTAATGAAATGTCTCTAAAACTACCAAGCTCAGAGAGCATCAAAGGACCCCACAGTGCTATTTTCAAAGGCTAGTCCTCAGTATTAAGTACTCCCCGCAGACTGTCAGGGTAGGGACCACAAGAAAACCTACTGGGAATAGTCAAGTTAGAGATTCATGGTTTTGTTCATACCTCCTAACACTTCGTTTCTCCATAACATTTTGCTTCCTGGTGGTGCCGTGGTTAGAATCCTGCACTGAAGGCTAACTACTGTCCACAGCCTGGAGTTTGAACCTGACGGGAGTCAAGGTTGACTCAGCCTTCCATCCTTCTGAGGTCAGTATAATCAGGACCCAGATTATTGGGGCAGCGATATGCTGACTCTGTAAACCACTTAGAGAGGGGTGTAAAGCACTATAAAGCAGTATATAAGTCTTAGTACTATTGCTATTGCAGTATAACTCTGCCCACTGCTAGGAATTCGATTCTGATGGCTCAAGGTTGATTCAGCCTTCCATCTTTCCGAGGTTGGGAAAATGAGACTGATCCATTCAGTGACACAAGAGCTGTGGTGGTGCAGTGGTCAGAATGCAGTACTGTAAGCTTCTTCTGCTGACTGCTAGTAGTTTGATTCTCACCGACTCAAGTTTGGCTCAAGCCTTCCGTCCTTCTGAGGTTGGTAAAATGAGGACCCAGATCGTCGGGGGTAACATGCCGACTCTGTAAACTGCTTAGAGAGGGCTAAGAAAAGTGCTATGGGGCAGTACATTAGCCTAAAAGCTTCCTTTGGAAGTCAGTATGCTTTCAATATCCTAAGCCTCATCAACCTTCCCAGTTCAGCTTCTCCAAATACATCCTACGCTCACCCAATATTTGAATCCTTGATGCAGAATTTAGATACATGAAAGGGAAGTGATTGATAATTATTCTGCTCCATCCTGAGCTGAATTCCCTCCCTCCTTCCTTCTGAATGTTGTAATTTTAGAATGGGTAACATGAGTAGGCGGTGAGGGTTTTTTATCTCCTCTAGCATTCATGTGAGCCTCTTGGGGGGGGAAAAAAAAACAACGGAAGAGAAATTTTTCTGCCGGTTCTCCCACACAAAAGCTGAGCACGAAAATGTGTTCCAAGAAGCAAGGGTGAAGTGTTTCAGACCTGGACTTATGCCACCGGTAGCACTGAAGCAAAAAAAAAAGAAATCTTTCTATGCTTCTCTTTTAGAGCTACCAGAAGTGCGAGAAACACGCTACCCACTCATATTTTATTAATAGATTACATATCTTACCATTCTTTAAAAAAAAAAAAGTTCATAGCAGCACAGGGCACAAAAATCGTTATACGCCAGAGTTAAAAAGAACTGAGGAGATGTAAATGAAGCTTACGAAGACGTCTTTCTCCATCTTGCAAGGCAGACACGAAGGACGAAACCCCCGTCTTTGCTTCAAAAGCAGAAGGTGCAAAAGTCCCCCCCCCCCAAAAAAAGGTTCTGTTTTTTTTTCCCTGTTAGGCTTTGGTGATGGATCCTTCTCGGATGAGGAAGTCGTAGATCTTCCTGGTCTTGTTCACGTCGATCTTGATCAGGGCCCGGGCCTGGGCTAGTCTCAGGCCTCCTTGTTTGTGGCACTCGTTGACTAAGGCGGCTTTGTACTCTAAGTATGCTCCAGGGACCAACCGTACGATTTGACAGAGCTAGGAGAAAGCACTCCTGGTTAGTCATGTGTCCTAGATACCCACCCGCCATTTCTCTTCATTTTCTTCCTCTCTCCCATCTTCACCGAGACTGCATCTGCTTAATAACCCCTCGATGTCCATTCTACCTCTGTGTTTCTCAATTTTAGCAACGTTAAGATTTGTGGACTTCAATTCCCAAAATTCCCAAGCCAGCCCCATCACCCTCTCCTCTCTACTTCCTCCCTTTCTCCCCATTTCTGTAAGACTGCACCTGCAGTCTAATCCATCAATATTCGTTCTAGATCAAAGATTCTCAACCGTGACAACTTCAAGATATGTGGACTTCAACTCCCAGAATTCCCCAGCCAGCATCATCCCTTTCCCCAGGGTCACGTGGTTGCATTGGGGGCACTCGGCAAGCGTGTCGTGTTGGTGGCCATTTGCAGCACCCTGAAGTCACATGACCACGATCGATGATGTTTTTGCTGGAAACTGGCATTTACTTCTGGTTTCTGACAAAAATTGTCCCATAATGAACAATGGGTCTGCTTTAGACTGTGGCATTCACTTAACAATTGCTGCAAAACACATACACATGCATTCAAAACATCTGGTCTCCATAACAGCCAGGAATTCTATTTCCAAAGTTGGCTGTGTAGGAAAATTTGCTTCAAATATAGCTAGGCATTCTAACTCAAGAGACTAGTGGTGCCAATCAGGCCATCTTTTCACACACCCATCCACCCCCAATAATAAGATCAGTTAGTCCCTTTTTAGTTTACCTTTTCATAAACCTGGCTCTGCCCAACTCTGAAAAGCAACGATCTGTGGAATGTCTATGCAGATTCTCAGTCATCCAGGCCATGGTTGTCCCAAAGGTGCTTTTTCAAGAAGCCACTGGACTTTCTTGGTTTTTCTCCTTGAAAACTGAAAAGCTTCTTCAGTTCTGATTGAATGGTGGTGAATGGAAGGATTGATTATTCCTTGCTGTCGTTGTTCCATTCCCCACCATTCGGTCAGAACTGAAGAAGCTGCTTGGATGAGAAGCGAAAGTCCAGTTGCCTTTTGAAAAATCACCTTTGGGACTATCTCTGGAATGAAGTATGCAGACAACAGGCTTACATGCTAGACATTAATTATATAACAAGCCCTTTGAGTCTTCTGGAGGCTGAAATAGGAGCTTATGAATCTGCCCTTCGCCTTAGTAATGCCAGAATAGTACCAGCAGATGCTAAAAACTCCAGCTCTTTTCTTAAGTTCCCAGCGCTATAATGAGTGTGGTGGAGACACCAACTGTCCACTTTTCTCCTTTTACATTAATAAGAAAATGCTCTGATCTAACCCAGCAGAACAAAACAGCAACCACCAAGGAAAATGAAACTTCTGTCAAGGCTACAAGAACGTTGTAGATGAAGAACGTTCACCTAGGATACTGAGAGACATGAAAAATATCAGCTGAATTTGCCTTGAAGATTTGGGAGACTTGGGGGAAAAAAGACAGCTAGTCTCTTCCTTTCTTGAGGAAGGAAGAAAAATAATCCAAAATATGCCCATCTCATTATCTTAAGGCAGTGTTTCTCAACCTTAGGTACTTTAAGATAGATGGACTTCCCCAGCCAGCCATGATGGAAATTCTGGGAGTTGAAATCCACCCCTGCTGGCTGGGGAATTCTGGGAGTTGAAGTCCATCCATCTTAAAGTACCCAAAGTTGAGAAACACTGTTCTAGAATATTTTTTACCTCATGGAATTTGTTTTGGCTGGGGAATTCTGGGAGTTGAAGTCCATCTATCTTCAAATGGCTAAGGTTGAGAAGGTCTCCTATTCAGGAATTCAGGGAGCTGAAGGAAGTTTTCAATATTTTAAAGGTTTTTTTCTCTTTTATAAGACCAGCATTCCTTCCCATTTGTACACACAAAATTCTTTCTTCTAATTGTACTGTGAGTCTTTGAAAATAAAAATAACTGAGTCTATGAGGGTGGCAGGGAAAATACTTAGGCCTGTATGTGTTCCTAGAGCTGGCATTTCCAGCGGCCACTTATACACACAGGTATTGTGTGATTAGGGCTAATGGCACAAACTCCATCAGGCAATGCCAGCATTTCAGCTGACCTGCATTTGCAGGCCGATCCCAGAAAACAATGGTGGTTTCCTATGAAATAGTGATGGAAAAGATTACAGAAGCAGGAAATAGGCAGCATATTCCCTGCGTGCAGATTTGCATAACTATCAGTCAATGCAGGAATTTGGGGCCACAAACACTTTGTTGAGGTACACTCTATGCGGTTTTAACGAGACCAAAAGTAATTTCACATGAGGGTCTTGGCAACCAGTCTCTGAATCCAGTTACCTCTTTTTCCTTCTCGTTCAGTTTTTCTGTTCCAGGGAGACCGGTGAGGTTCAACGGAGGGGCGCTTCTTCTACCTGTGGAGAGATAAGACCACCAGCTCTGATTAGAAGGAGTCAGGATTTGAAGAACCAGCTCTTTCAGTTAGACTAGATTAGAACAGAATTCTTTATTGGCCAAGTGTGATTAGACACAAAGGAATTTGTCTTGGTGCAAATGCTCTCGGTGTACACAAAAGAAAAGATACATTCATCGAGAGTCAAGAATCATCAGGTACAACACTTAATAATAGTCATAGGGTACAATAAGCAATCAAATCATACAAGGAAACAGTCAGTTAGGATACAAGCATCAAGGTCACAGTCATACAATCGTAAGTGGGAGGAGATGGATTAAAGGAAGGATGGGAGGATTAATAGTAATAGTAATGCAGACTTAGTAAATAGTTGGACAGTGCTGAGGGAATTATTTGTTTAGCAGAATGATGGCATTCGAGAAAAAACTGTTCTTGTGTCTAGTTGTTCTGGTGTGCAATGTTCTATAGCATCGTTTTGAGGGAAGGAGTTGAAACAGTTTATGTCCGGGATATGAGGGGTCTGTAAATATTTTCACAGCCCTCTTTTTGACTTGTGCAGTATACAGGTCCTCGATTGAAAGCAGGTTGGTGGTAATTGTTTTTTCTGCATTTCTAATTACTCTCTGAAGTCTGTGTCTGTCTGTTGGGTTGCAGAACCAAACCAGACAGTTATAGAGGTGCCGATGACAGACTCAATAATTCCTCTGTAGAACTGGCTCAGCAGCTCGTTGGGCAGTTATTTTCCTCATGGATGCTGGTGGACTAGAAGGGGCAGTGAGACAGGTGAGAGTGTTAAAATGGTGGTGGACAGATCTATTAGATCTATTGTGCCCACTGTTTTGACCAACCCTGGGCCTGTTGTGAGACCGCCATAAAAAGTTAACTCTGGGATGTTCAACTAGAATTACCAATGTATCTGTGTGGGGAAGAAACCCAATGTTTTTCATGAAAGCAGCCTCTTGCTGTGTGGCAATGGATGAACCTGAATGCCATTAATTACCAGTAATCCAGAGCTATGGTGACCTAATGGTTAAGAGTGCAGTATTGCAAGCTAACACTGCTCACAGCCAGGAGTTCGATCCTGACTGGCTCAAGGTTGACTCAGCCTTCCATCTTTACAGAGGATCCAGATTGTTGGGGGCAAGATGCTGACTCTGTAAACCACTTTGAGAGGGCTGTAAAGAACTATGAAGTAATACACAGTTTCACCAAAAATACAATCTACCCTGAAAGTAAGTCCTAGCTTTATGTTTACATGTGCTCCCAATATAAGCCCTACCCTCAAAATAAGCCCTAATTAAGATCCTGCCTACTCCAGAGTGCATGGGTAAAAATAAAGTCTGTGTGTGTGTGTATGTGTGTGTATGTAGCCAGGCCAAGCACACCCCAACACCTGCCTTGCCAGCCCATTTCTTCTGCAGCCGGCAAGGCCAGCAAGGCTTTCCTGAACGCCTCTGTAGCTGATGACAAAGCTTCGGATTGATCCAGAGCTCTGTTATTGGCTGCAGAGGCCTTCAGGAAAGCCTTGCCAGCCACAGAAACTTCCTGAAGGCCTCTGACAGTGAAAAGGAGGCCAAGGGTGACAGGCGCATGTGAGGTTAGTCAGTGGATGACATCCTCCGAAAATAAGACCTGGTGTCTTTTTTGGTGGAGATCTATATATATTTGTTTTCTTATGTTTTTGTGGGTATTTATATGTATGGTGTGTAGGTTTATTTGGGTATTTTCCCAAATCTTAATATTTGTGCTTTTATTATAGCGAAGTTTCGGCAGAATCTCATCTGCCATCCTGATGAGATTCTGCCAAAACGTCGCTATAATAAAAGCACAAATATTAAGACGTGGGAAAATACCTGAAGAAACCTAAATGCCATTTACATATACACATATACATACACACACACACACGCACACACACACACATATATATATATGTAGGTCTAGGTGTGTTCGGGTCTTTTCCCATGTAAGATTAAGAGTATCTTAGCGACGTTTCGGCAAGGTCCCACTCGCCATCCTCAGGCTGGTGCTTTCGGCTTCGTGCCAGTGCAAGCAGTGTATGATCGGAGCTGCCGTCTCTCTATAAATACTGGTGGTGAGGGCTGGTGTGCTGGGCTGGTTGACTGCGTTGCTGCCTCTTGATGTTGGTATAATGGGCTGTGTGATGGCCTTGTGAGTTTTGTTGTGGAGATATCCTGGATCTTGTGCTGTAATCTCCGTTTGTTTTGTAGTGATTTTTTTTCCATTAGCCTCTCGGGTTTTAACGGCTTGGGTAATGGGATGTGTGATGCAAGATCTTTTGTTGTGGTATCCTGGCTCCTGCGTTGTAATCTCCTGGGTCGTTTGTGTTTTGATCTCTTTTCCATTAGCCTCCTGTGTTGTTAATGGCTTGGGTAATGGGTTGTGTGATGACCTTGTGAGATTTATTGCTGTGGTATCCTTGGTCTTGTGCTGTGATATCTTGGGTCATTTGCTGTGTTGCAACTTCTTGAGTTCTTGTGGTGTAATTTCCTGAGTTTTCTGATGTGATATCCTGAGTGGGTGGCCGTGATGTAGCATTCTGGGTTTTAGTCTGGGTTCAAGTTTGGAGTCTGGGTCTGTGTTCTTGGCATGTGTCAGCTTGTTTGGTTTTGGGGTCGTGTGTGTGTGACAGCTGGCGAGGCAGCCGTGGTCTGGTTTCTGGATGGTGGTTGTCCTTTTTTATAGGATGGGCTTAGGCCTGGGTCTGATGAGGAGGATTGGCGGTGGTGTCCCATGTTGTTTCGGGTCTGGTGTTGGTTTTCGTGACTGGGACTCATTTGTTGGTGAGGGCTAGTTTCCAGGTGTCTAGTAGGCGGGAGGTATCATCCCATCTATTCATGTTATGGGGGTGTTTCTCTATTTCAATGGCTTCCCTGATTATTCTCTTGCTGGAGTGTTCTGTGTTGGATATTAATTTGGTTCCTTCGAAATTAATTTCATGTCCTGTGGCTTTAAGGTGCTGGAAGAGGGAGGAAGTATTTTCTTCTCTTCTGACTGTGTTTTTGTGTTCTGTGATACGTGCATTTATTCTCCTGCTGGTTTGTCCAATGTATGTGGCTGGGCAATTGTTGCATGGTATTTCATAAACTCCTTGGTTTTCTAGCTGGATCTTGTCTTTGGGGTTTCTTAGGATGTTGGCTATTTTTGGGTCAGTGCCGAAGGGCTGTCCTGATATTGTGTTTGTGGAGAATTTTGATGATTTTGTCTGTGGTGCCTTTGATGTAGGGGAGGAGTGTGATACCGTTGTCTTGTTCGGTGTCTTGGTTTTTTGGGGGTATCTCTTTTCGGATTAGGTTAGTGATTGTATTTCTTTGGAATCCGTTGGAAATTAATACGTTAGTGAGGGTGTGTAGTTCTGTTCTCAGGTGGTCTTTGTCAGCTAGGCGTTTGTTCTCGAGATGAGGGTCTTGGCTACGGAGTTCATCTGTGCAGGGTGGTGATGGGATTGTGCATTTAGGTAGTGGTTGGTGTTTTTTTTTTCTGGTAGATGGTGTGTCCTAGGGAGCCATTGGGTTTTTTGTAAATTAGGACGTCCAGGAAGGGGAGTTGGTTGTTGGTTTCTGTTTCCATGGTGAACTGTATTTTGGGGTGTAGGTTGTTAAGATGTGTGAGGAACTTGTCCAGTTTTTCTTTCCTGTGTGGCCAAATTACAAAAGTGTCATCTACATATCTGAGTCAGAGTTTGGGTTTGTGTTTGGATTTGTCTAGAGCATTGGTTTAAAAGTGTTCCATGTATAGGTTAGCGATAACGGGTGAGAGGGGTGATCCCATGGGTGCTCCTTGTATCTGTTTGTATCTTTGTCCATTGTGGACGAAGTATGTGTTGGTTAGGCGGTAGTTGGTCAGATCTAGGATGTGTTTGGGGGGATTGTATTTGTTTTGGACGGCTGTTAAGGCTTCTTTGATGGGTATTTCGGTGAAAGGGATATGACATCGAAGCTCACAAGTAGGTTGCTGGGTTGTAGGTTTTTTTTTTTCTTTATTGTTTCTATGAAGTGGAAGGAGTTTTGTACGTGTGAGGTGATGGATTCTGTGTAGGGCTGGAGTTGTTTGGTGAGAAATTTGACAAGATTCTGTAGAGGTGAGCCTATGGAGCTGACTATGGGTCTGAGTGGTATTCCTTCTTTGTGTATCTTGGGGAGGCCATAGAGCTTAGGGCATCTGGATGATTCTTCTCTGGGGATGATTCTCTGCTGGATCTCTTCGCTGATGGGAGATGCTTTTATTTTGGATTTGGTGGTTTTTTCTAGGTAGGTGGTGGGGTCAGTATTCAGAGGTTTGTAAGCAGGGTCTTGGAGTAGGTTGGATAGTTTGGAGTGGTAGTCCGATGTGTTCATTACAACTGTGGTGTTGCCTTTGTCTGCTGGAAGAATGACAATGTTGCTGTCTTTCCTTAGGTTGATGAGTGCTTTTTGTTCTTCTCTGTGTAGGTTGCTTCTGTATGGGTTGCTGGAGCATAGGACGTTGGTGGCTTCAAGTCTGATTTTGTTGGCTGCATCTGGGTTGATTTGCGTTAGCCTAGCTTCAACTCCACATATAATGTTTTCAGAGGGTATGTGTTTGGGGGCGACTGCAAAGTTGAATCCTTTGGAAAGGACATTGGTTTCTGCTATGGTGAGGGTTCTGTCTGATATGTTGTGTACTGTTTGTTTCATGTGTTGTTGTGGGGAAGGGTTGGGTTTCTGGAGTTTCTCTAGTCTGTGGAGTTTCCTGGTGTGTATGTCTGTCTTGTGGGAGGTTTCTGTTTCGGCTCTCCAGAAGGCTAGTTGTTTGGATTTATCCCAGAGTGCTGGGTGGATTTTGTTGCTGAGTTTGAGATGGAGTGTGAGTAGGTCTCTGTTGGTTTGGTCTAATAGGAATCTTTTCTTGTGGAGTTTGTTTCTTTTTTTTTTTTTTGTAAATTTTATTTGAGTTTTCACAAAGAGAAAAAAGAATACAAATAAAACATCTTTTTTTGAAAGTAGCGTAATCCCGGGTTAC